AAAATAATAACGCGTATTAAAATTTGAAGCCGTTACTCTTTCCAAAATACTTTGAAAGAGTTGAAAGCCGCTAGAGAATTTGAAGGTAAAAGCTAGGATCAAAAAATAAAAGTACAAAAGGTCGAAGCTTTTATAGGAGGAAATAGAATCAATACGCGATGATTCTTATTCGGAGACGACCAGTCGATGATTGACACGTGTCTGAAGTCAGAATGATGTGACTGATGGGGCGTTTCGGATTATTCGTTATCTCGGTTTTAACGTACGAAGGAAGGAACCGGGATTCATTATCGTTTCCCATCATTTCGACGAACCTACTCTCTAAGAAACGAGGGGACTATCTGTATACGGGTGAACTCGGGGTTAGCGCACACACCGACTTCCTGGTTGGTCCAACTAAGAAAGAGTACGAATGTATGAGATCAAGACTGAAGTTGAGAACTCTTTGGATCGAGGCTGGAATGGGGTACTCGCTACCGGGCCTGACGAGATAACGCTCCCCAAACTTAGAACGAGCTCCAAGACCTCAAAAGCACTATAAACTCTTGCACACGACTAACAGAGAGCCATGATATCCACACCCAACCGGATATTACGAGGGATCTCGCCCAGTGTCGGTAGTATATTGGTAATTGACGAGAAAGGAGGATTTGTACCTTTTTTTAGAATTGTACTAGAGATGTAACTCTCCTACTATATAAAGGGGAAGCGTTTATTCAATGGACACATTGTAACATGCATATCAAGGCAATACAAACTTATTTCTCTGCTTTCTAGCTACTGCAAAGTCTTGACTTTAGTTTTGTTCTTTTTCTTGTCTGGCTTCGAGCCCAGGACCCAATCGAGGGCAAAAATTATTTCTCAGTCCAAGTTCAAGCTAGGCCATATCGTTACGATAGGTTTGATTATTCATTATGTCCTTAACTTATTTATCTAACATTCTTGATTATTTGTGTTGAATCAATCCACATATCTTTAAAACCACATATAAATTTAATTGTTATTCATTTTAAGAGTAAACAATTATCATTGTCAAACTAAAAGTTTTCAGTTTTTCCATAATTCAATCACAACTATAAGTTTAGCAATAGTGCCTTCGCAGAAAAATTAAGAAAACGTAAAAAGAGAACAACCAAAAATACATTTGTCTTGGGAATCTTATTAGCCCAGTTTGGTGGTTACCTGAATTTTCATTTTGGTGGTGACTGGTGAGGGTTTGATTCCAACTTTGTAATCCCCTTCCCTTATCCCCTCTCTCTCTATATATATAGAGGCCTTGCTAGTATATTAATAATGCACCCATTTTTGGATTCTCTAAAGCGCCCTTATTATTTTTTATCCTTTCACCAAAATTTCACTATGAACCTAAAAACCTACACCCAAGCCTTCTCTACCCTCAGCTCCTTCCTTGTTTTCCATCGTCAATGGCAAAACCAAGCATAAAGGAAGGAACTGGTAAAACATTGACTCCTATGCAAATCACAATAACTACTAGTTGGGCAGAGGATTTGGTTTTTCATTAAAATCTTTTTAGGCCCTTTAAAGCTCTATTCTCCCGCTTCTTCGAATTCTCAAAATGTTATTCAAAAACCCCCCATTTCAGTTTCTAAATCTGATTCGAATACCTCAAAACATAGTATCAATTCACCCAACAACAAATCCAGTGAAATTACACAAGTGGGGTCTGCGGAGAGCAGTGTATACACAAATCTTACCCCTACCTCTCAATCAGCTTCACATCTTCTAATTTTATATTTGCTTAAAATAAATGTAGAGGAAACAAACAGAAAGAAACAACGAAAGAAAAATTTCCGTCACCCAAAATGGTTTTAAGAGAAGTTGTTTATGTTTAATCTATTTCCCAGTTTTATGTCTGTTGCTGTTGGCGGAGTCACCATTGATGAGGGAGAGACAGAAAAGAAAAGATAAAAAAAGAGAATTGACTTTCAATTTTGGTGAAAAGACAGTAAAGCCCCTCCTATAGGTGTGTTGGTCGTATGCTGCTAAGGACCTTCTAGAGAATCCAAAAATGAGTACATTGCATAATGTTTTGATGATTGCACTCGCAATTGTTTTGCACCTCAATTTCTCGCCACCCTGTAGGAAATAAAGTAGTAATATACTATCTCGAGATTTTGTTATTTATCAAATTTTATGATGAACTTCATAGGGGTTTCGAAATGCGTTTCTGCAAATTTTCACTTCATATGGAACTCGTTCATAGGACTTTTAACCATAGACGACATATATACACATTTACACATGTTTGAGATACTATAAACCCGAGTACAAGCTCCTACGAAACACGAAAAGGGCAATTTCCTACCAAAGATGCACACAGAACGCATCTACAGAAAAGCATTCCCCCAACCTGAAGCAGGTAACTCTAGCTACAACAGAAACCAAATTTCTACACATGTTAATCACCTTTACTTGCCTTGTGCTTGGATAAAGAAGAGTTGCATTTCCATCAGGAAGTTAATCATCTTTTACTTCTGTTGAAGAGCAAGAAACCATGCGTTTAATTTGTAATAAATGTGTTCTCAGGCTAAAATCTTTCACCTGTTTTACAAACTTCTGTCAGTTCTGAACAGATAATTGACAAGAAGAATGAGATTAAAAGGCAACATAAAAATGATCGTTTCGCAAATAAGGTAAGAAATGAGCTCCATGTTACCTGTACAGCTGTCAGTGATGACAAGAGATCTCTACATTGGTCAAGCAAAGCACGTTCGCTCCCAGCTACATTTTGAAGCTCATGTACCAACAAATCCACCTGCTCAACCTGTTCACATGTATAATAATGATGTTTAACGGAGTTTTGAATATGATGTGAGAGCAGTAGGCAGACTACAATTCAAATCCGTAAGAAATAAAGAGGTGCAAGAACTGCTAATGATTTCAGAGGGTATCAGGAAATAACTTCATTTTGGTCTCCATCTCATTTTGGTCCGTCTCATACATGAGATGAGCTAAAGCCAGAAGGGTCTTGCTCTTAAGTTTGCTGAACTGACTGAAAGGGAGAGCCAGTATAGATACCTCGTCCAGCAAATTTCATTTGAAAATGATAATTCTCAAAACCCTGTTACAGCCTTACACAGGTAACCTTACAGCCATCTGAGAATTTTTGAAGAATCAAATGTTTTTCCTACCACTCCATGTGCAAGCTGTGTTTGATCCCATAAAGTCTGACACATCTTATCATTTCTTAAAGCAACATAATTTAACTGATAGAAAGCACATTGAGATGACTCCTATACTTGAGGACAAAAAGTAGTTCTGTGCAAAAGTATAGTTTTAACGAAGACCACAGAGCAGTTACAGTTGTGTAGGAAAGATTGATGAAAGAAGAGCTTTCCACATTTCAAACTAAATGATCAGACCCCAAGTGAAACACTTTATGATGCTCACATTGTCCAAGCATGTAAAATAGGAAATAAGGACCATCATAATCTAAGATTTGAAGTTTCCTAAAAAGATGGGACAAACGTACCATACAAATTAAATTGCCGAAACTGAGATATTACGAGAGATTGGATTATTTTACTTCTATTTTGTTCTGTTATTGACTAAATCTAAGTTGAACCAGAGATAATTAAGATACTTTTGGGAGAATTTTCTCCAAGTTAGTAATGTTTACCTCGTATATTTATAACCTTCAGTTATCATATTATCACACCTACGAACTACTCATTCAGATGCCTACATAAGAATACATGATCAAACCATCTCAGACGACTATTTCCCATTTTATCTTCTATCTGTGCTATTTGCAGCATTTGTTGCATGTTTTAATTCCGAACCTTACTAATCTTGTATGACTGCTCATCCATCTTTAACATCTGCATTTTGAAAACATTCATCTTCTAAGTTTGTTGGTTCTTAGAGGATCAATATTCGCTCACATTTAACATTCAATTGTTCCATTGAACTTGTCTTTCGTCTTAATAAATATCTTTATATTGCATGAACTCTCGTACCACTCCTATGTTTCATCGATTCTATTTTAATTTTGTGGGACATCTTCATTTATATGGCATTCTCTTGCACTACAAAAAAACGGAACAATTATGGCGTTATTAAAGTGGCGGTTATCAAAAACTGCCATTATAGCACTATAATACGGCAAATTTTAAGCCGTCAATGATGCATCCATAAAGCGGCGGTTTTAGCATATTAAATGGCGGTTTAAAACGACGCTATTTTTATTTTAAAATTTTCATACTTTTCTGGTTTATTTGGAGAAAGTGTATCTCTCACACAAATTAGGACACTCACTTTCCTAATAAACCCTTTTTTCTCTCCCCTGCGGCGATTTATCAGATCGCCATAGCCGGCGACTCTCTCTTCTCTCCTCTCCTACTCTATCCTTTACTACTCCTCTTCTCGCTGAGGCCTTCTATTTCAAACACTGTGACATTCAAGGCCAGTAGAACCTTTGATTGGGAAGAAATGGCGAATCTGTGGTCTACGATGAAGCTCCCATAGAGTTTGCTAAACTCCGTCACCGTCACGCTTTCAGCAATTCAAACTCCTAACTCCAAATAAAGCTCAGCCAGGTCGTCTCTATTTTTATCTCCTTTCTGCTCTGTATTGATTATGTATTGATGTGGATCTAGGATTTTATTGTTGGTTTGCTTTGCTCTGTCAACATAGTTATTGGATGACAAACCTATTATAATCTACTGTTTTGCATTTTGAGAGCCTATTGTTTATCAAAACAAAGGGGTTTAATGTGGTACTATATATTCAACAGGAGGTGGTATTCCTATATCTAAAAGAGCAAAGGATTTGGTGACATTGTTGGATATCAATATCATGCCTTTGCACCCAAGGGTGTGGCTTAGTGGTCAATGAAGTGGGTGAGAACTATGAGGTCTCAGGTTCAAATCCCAGCGGAGACAAAAAACACTAGGCGATTTCTTCCCATCTATCCAAGCCTTGGTGGATAGAGTTACCTCGTACTTGTTGCTGGTGGGAGGTGGCAGGTATCCCGTGGAATTAGTCGAGGTGCGTGCAAGCTGGCCCGGACACCACGGTTATCAAAAAAAAAAATAATAAAAAAAATCAATATCCTGCCTTTACAGGTCAAAACTTCTGAAATACATAGTGGTGGAGTTTTGTTTTTCCAAATATCCAAAATTAGTGTTTCTTCCATTGATTTGGATCGTTTCCGTGAGTTGGTATTCCTAGGATGTGTTACTTTCTCCTTGTCTTAAGGCCACTTCATTCATTTTGTTTACTTATCTACAGGTTATACAGAGGCATACACAATTCGGATAGTTGAGGTAATCCTATTTTTTTCTTGTTAGATCTCCTTGCTTACTCTCCCCATTTCCCCATTTAGATATAAAATTAAAATTAGTAGAAGGAAGTAGAGATCTCTATTTTTTTGTACAGTAGGATCTTTTAGTTGATAGAAGGCAAAAGATGTCTTTGGTGGAATAATATCTTATAAATAATCACATCAATAGTTTTCTAATGCTGATTTTGAAAGTTCATGTAAAAGATAAACTCTGCCAAAATGTGCATTGACACAAGCACACCTATTTTGGATGTGCAAGAAGTGGTATATATATTGGCTAGCAATAAATCAAGTGAGGTACACCTGGCTTTAGAGTGTGACTGGTCTGGTTGTAATTTCCAATGATCTTTGGTGACCTTGGAGAAACTGTAAAAGGAATTTATGTTTTTCCTATTGAGAGTGTATATTAATCACTAACTTAAACTATATGAATGATGGTTCAGGGACTGAAGAACTTCAACAAATCAGCAAGAGAATTTATTCAATTCCTCAAAACTATTTAGTGTGTGACAATTATCATAAGGTACCTACCTTTCTCTCAACTAGCTCAAGTCATTGCTATCTCTATTCTTGCTTGCCGTTCTTATTATTCGTTGAGTTTCTTTGCTTTATTGAAGATTGCAGTAACTCAAAACCTATGTGGTAATCAAACTTTTCACTTGTTCTTTTTCGATAGAACTTTTTCTTTTTCTTTCAAGCGCAGGCAATGGATCTTCTGCTTTTGGCAAAACTTCAACATGTTAGTATAGTTAGTAGTAGTATTGACTAGAATAAATATCACATTGACGGAATGTGAGAATGACGAAACGCGGGATGGTAAATTGGAAATGGACGAGAAGAGAAGTCAGTGGATTGCGGTGTTTGTGAGTTTGTGAAGTAAGGAGGTAATGTATTTAAGGAAAAGGTGAAAGGACGGAGAACAACAAATTGGGTGGCGGTGTTTGAAACAATTATTCATTGTTGTTTCGCGCTATCCTAGTATTTGCTAGGCAACTGCACAAAGATTCATCACTTGCTGATCTAATAATCTTCTTTACGTGCATATTATTTGTGCACCAACACTTGTATAATATCTTCATGTCTTTCAATTTTTGATTTTTCTCTTATTCTGCTGTTTCCTTTTCTTTTTCTTTCGTTTGAGAAATGTTCTTTTTGAACTGAAGGCATTCAAAACATATAGCAAAGCTGAAGTTGCGCTGCATAACAAGAGGATTGACTGCTGGATCATTATTAAAGCAAAGGTTTTATAAGATTTCTCTACTTGACCACCTTAAAGTTCATGTTAATTGCGATAGTGATGACATTTTCATTCTAGTCTTACTGCAGAAAAGAGCAAAAGATAAAAGTGTAAATTTCCCCAGCAAATGATACTTATTTAGAGACGTATTTCTTGCAGGTACTTGATTCAAGAAGTGGACGGCACTTGAAGATGTTCAAACGGGAGTAACAATGCGTATCATGAATGCAACCATTAGTCATTATTGTTAGGATTGACTTAAGTTTTCCTTTAACCTTATTAAGTAGTAGTTCTTTGAGATTTTAACACATTTGGTATTGTAATTTTACACTACTTAATATTCTTTTTAATATAATGAATATTTTACTTGATTTTTCCTTTATATCTGTGTCAATATATCATAAAGAAGTAATAAACTTGCATGTGTGACATTGAAAGGCAAAAGTTACAGTAATAAATAAGTGAAGATATAAATAATATTGACGCTTTATACATGCGAAACAGGCCATTTCAATTGACTAGACAATTTGTACATTGTGGCGGTTTCAACAGCCATCCAAAACCGCCGTTATATAAACTTGTGAATTATGGCGGTTACCAAAAAAGCGCCGTATAATCTTTGTGGCGAACGTGATTTCGGCGGTTTCACGAACTGCCATTAATACATAGAAATGCACATTGCGGCGGTTAGAAACTGCCATTATATGAAGAAGTAACCGCCGCAAATACCTCCTGTTTTTGTAGTGTAATTGGAAGACTAAGTTTAGCTATCTGAATTGTCAGTATTTAGACACCAGAATTCCAGCTAATCTTCAGAACCTGAGCTTGAAGTACATATATTCTGTTTTGCTTCTACCTATCCTAAAACTTCTAGTCTCCTAAGTGCTACTGCAAGTTCAAATTTTTTGTTGACTCCCTTGCTAGTTCATCATTTATAAGACAACCCTTGCTAAGTCTTTATAAATAAATAAAAAATCATCTGCTAAATAGGGAAGCTTCATCAACCAAACTTGTATTAGTTAGCCCATCCATAATTATGTCAACAAGTAAAAACTCAAGACACATCCATGGTGTAAATATGTGATTACGGCAACTCCTCCAAATATTCTCCAAACTGTTCTCACACTAATGATTGATCATTCATGGTGTAAACCTACAAAAGGATTGTTTAATCCAAGGGAACTCATATTCCATAATACTATGAACTTGATAAGACCTTTCCAGTCTTAAAGAAATACTATTTCGCTACATTTGTGTCCTTTTTCATTCCAATCCTCAATAAGTTGTATTTGAGAAAAAATTAATTATCTAAAAACTAAAAATTCTCCATAAAAACATTATCAACTATAGAAGAAGACCAAATATTATGGGACAACTGAACAAGGAAAGCTGGTTTTATGGAATAGGTCGGGGGAGTAAGAGAGGTGCCCATACCATGAGGAAGGAAAATGGAACCATATATTCGCAAACGTTGTGAAGGAGATTATAAATTGGGGAGGTAGGTTTGGACCAGACCAACCAGCAAAAGATAATAAAAATATATGAGATTAACTTGCCAAAGGCATGGCGTATTCCAATCACAGGTTTACAAGCGAAAGGAATACTAAAGAACTCTAACACGGAGTGGTAAATACATTTTACAAGCCTAAGTGAAGGTTGGTTGTTTAGATTTGCGCAACTTTTAATTTAATCAATATTCTCCAGACCCCACTTGTGGAATTATACTGGGTATGTTGTTGTTGTTAATTTAATCAATCAATCAAGTAGGCCGTGTTGCACTGAGTGAGTCAATCAACTAGGCCTCAATCCCATACTAGTAGTTGAGGTTGGGTCCTCTATTATGAAACCTCTATAGTTTATTCAAGCTTTGAGGCTCATTTTAGTGTAATATTGATAAATAATTTGTCTTTTAAGGTAAATCAATTATTTAAATTAGAGGTTCCACTTATTCTTATACTGTCATTTAAGTTTCTAACTAGGCTAAAAAGATTTCGGGCAAACATCTGAAGTAATGTAAGTATTTCATCTTTAATCTGAACTAGTTGGTATCTCCTATAAAGATCCTTTGCTTCCATTCTACTATGCTCTTAGCTAAGTGAAAAGATTTTGAGAGATATAGGTCTTATGAGACAACTTCCTTCTGTATAACAGAACTGTTATAAGTCAGATATCTTCCATTTTGGTCGCCATATTCTCTTTGTGCTGGATTTCCTGACACGTGAATCACAGGTCATAGTGAATCAATCACAACATAAGGATAAAAATAGTTCTGTATTATGCATTGCTTGCACGTGTATATATGCTAACAAGAAGAAGAATAAATGTGGTCAAAGGGTCTTGACTTTGGCACTTTGCTATAAGGATAGCTCTCTTATCCGCCCTCCCCTCACCCACCGACCCACCCACTCTAAAAAAAAGGATCGCTCATTCAGCAACTTATATGGGCTCAATTTGATTGGTGCTTCTTCACCAAACCTCAAACACAAAAGATGCTTAATAATTTAGCAATTTGGACATCTTTTAATACAATAGTCAAATTAGCTACTTACACATTTCCCTTTCCTGGCATTTGAAAAAATAAGTGTCCACTAGCCATAAGTTTCATTTATTTATTAGACAAGAGAATGAGATCACCTTTGACAGTGAAGAACAAATGGAGGATGCCATTGCCTGCATCACATCAACGGCCGAAGAGATAGCATATTTCACATTTTGAACATCTGCCTGTTGATATTACAACCAAAGAACATTATTATCCCCTCAGCCTAAAACTGCAAAATTAACATGAAGAGCACTCAAAACATCAATAAGAAAATATAATTTCAGTTAGAATGAAAAGGAAAGATATACCACAGCCCCTGCAACAACAGGAAGACGGATAGTGCTTGATTCCAGAGCACATATAGCTCCTGACATGGAATTGGAGTGATCTCCATCTGTCAGATCCCAATTCTCCAAACTTGGCACCTGCGGTCATGAAAAAAAAAATGTTTCCATAGTGAATGGTTTAGTTCACCTACTGGCGTTAGCAACAGATAGACAACCAAATATAGTAAAAATGCTTTTGGACAAAATGGAATAGGAAATATTACGATATCATCAATTTTAATCTTGTTTCTTCTTTGTTTCTATTTCTTCAAATGCCTTTCACATTCATATGCATATTCCCACATCTAATATCTACATTGCGAGCAGTTGCAATTCATGGGTACGTGGTTATATGAGCAAATTTTATGTACGTCAACGGATTCCTAAAGCTTGGTTTGGAAAAAAAAGGAAGCAAGTCTTACTTGTCCTTTGAGGATGGAATACAACTTCACATTTTGTTGCAACAACTGCAGCTGGATTCTTTTGGACTTAACTGAATGCCGTAATTTTGAAGTGGCCAACCATGCATTGTACAGGGTCCTCTAGTACAAAATAATTAAATGAGAAGCACCAAAATTTCATGCAATTTCTACTAAAATAATAAAAGCACTTGAATTTTCAACTAGACTGAAAGAATAGAGCTTATCAAAAGAATAGAGCTTGCCAAAAGATCAGACAAACTGAAGAACAGAGACCCTAATATAATGCACCCAGATCGAGAAAACAGATAAGTGGGGAAGAAGTAGAGATATCTCGTCCAATCTCATAAAACATCTATACGTGTTAAAGTCTTTCAGAACATATTCAGCAGCTGTCAAGCTCTGACAAGAAACAAAATGTTTTTTCTAATGCAGACAACAATAACATCATACCCAGTATAAATCCCACAAGTGGGGTCTGGGGAGGATAGTATGTAATGTACGCATACCTTACCCTACTTGGAGAGGTAGAGAGGCCGTTTCCGATAGACCTTCGGCTCAAGAAAAGGTGGAAAGGAAGAGAAGGGACGAAGAAGAAGAAGAGGAAGAAGAAAGAAAGAAGAGGGAGATAAAAGACGATAAGGAAAAAGTGGAGAAAAAGAGAAGCCGAAAAAGAAAAAGTAGCATCAAATAGTAACAATCAGGGAAATAGGATACACAAAGTGAACAAAACAACAAGCAAATACTAGAGATCAAAGAATACGGAAATACAAGAATGCTACTAATACTACTAGTAAAGAACGGGGAACTCTCTACTACATACTAGCCTTCTACCCTAATCCTCGGCCTCCACATCCTTCTATCCCGGGTCATATCCTAAAATTCAACAGAGCTCCCATCTTTCTACTATCAGTGCACCTTAAGTTCACAGGCTTGATTCTATGGAGCTTGTGCACATCCTTCCTCTAAACAAAATTTTAGTTGAAGTCACTCTCCAAATTTGGACTAGTACAATCCAAATCTCTACCCTTAGAAAAAAGAATAAAACATAAGAACAAAACAAATGCATGAAACTGAGAAGAAAAGGTCTTGCTCAAGACACTTCTCATGCTTCTCCTGCATAAAGCGGCCACAATTCACCACTCCAGATTGAAGGATCTCTCAATCAACATGATGACTTACACAGTGCAGTGAACCCTCCAAAGTTTTACTATATTTCTTTTTCTTCACGCAATTAAGCATGCACTATGGTTCAAATGCGCTATATGCCTGTGCATTAAACTTCCTGTTTGTTTCTGTCAAAATCATAAAATGAGTTCCTAACATACAATCCTGGCCCATATTCGCATGAACTTCCAGATGTCTGAAGAAACTAATCCTTTTATCTATCACAAACTTTTACACCTCTATAAGTAGCAGTCTCTGACAGCTTGGTTTAACATTAATGTCGTTCAGCAAATATGGATGCCTTCGAGACCTTCAAGCTACACATTCTATGTTTGGTACGATGAAAATGAGGGTCATGGTAAAGGAGAGAAAGTCATTGGTAAACCTCAAATTGTTAGGTATAAAGAGAAACAGAGTGAAACACAACAAGAGTTGCATACCTCTCAACATTACTTCCAAACATACCAAGAAAAACAACCATTACTCTTTTTTACTTCATTCCTCCAATCCTCACTCTTCCAACCAGTCAAGCACAGTACACCATTCAGAGAACCATAGTCAGAGAGTTTATTTGTTTGGGGTTTTAAGAATTTATAGCTTTTCCACATTTATACTCGATACAAAGATTGGCAACCAATAGTAAAATCCAAGATGATGCTGCATATTCAGTATCTTTGTGAACTATTGAATAAAAAAATTGTACAATAGACCCGTTTTTAACCAACATCTAGAGAACCAGTGGCATACTAGAAAACCATTACCTCTGATGTCTCTGTCTGTGACGTTAGAGCAGCTTCGGCTCTAGCATTGGCAAATCGCCATTGAATTTGCCGATTATTCAGTAGCCTCAGTTCATGTGCATCACTGATACGATTCTCCCCAGCTTTTCCTCTTCTCGCATCGGCAGCAAAACTCAAACTTGAAGGCA